CCCCACCCCGAAACCTGGTCATTTGATGAATCTATTGAGGCTGATCACGTAATTATGTTGTTTATTCAGTACTCGTATTTGAAAAGCTTGATAGATACCTATGTAGGAAACCATTTTACTTACAAAATAACACTTTTCATCAACTTCGATGAAAGTTTTTGCCAGTGCTTTGCTTTGATTAAGTGATATTGTATTATTTTCTGTAAATAAAGACTTTAATTGTTTTATTGTTCATGTCGACAATTGGAGAAATGATTCATACGATATTGCTTCAAATGTACTAATTGGACACTTACAGGATCATTCTTCGGTCGTAGATGTATAGTTTAAATAATATTCGATTCGTAACGTATGGTTAAAAGTCTTTTGTAAAATAAGTTATTTTTCTTTGCTGTATGTTTGTTGTTGGGGTTTGTTTGGTGTGTGTACGGGAGGGAGGGGTGTATTTTTTGGGGGGGTGGGGTAGCTGTTTGCTGTAGCAATTCAGGATACATTAGATTGACTGATTTGTTCACTATTAGAAGATAGGCCTATTATTATTTCATGCCGTAAGAACCTAGCTAGACACAACGATTCTTCTATTTCTTACTACCACGTATTATATACTGCAGGGGAACGAGGCAACAAGGATTACTTCTGATTTTTTTTTTAAATTCAGGGGAGGAAAAAAGGGGGTGGCTTCCTTTAAAAATTAGGTTGATTTTTTTTTTCTAGCTCACAAAATGGAAAACTATCACTCTCTGTGAATCAATTCCGGCTTTAATTGAAGTTCTTTTCATTTCTCGGCAATTCTTGAAACAGCAGATAGTCATCTACAGCGTTTTCGCCAAAGTGTACAAAAAAGTAACTGTATTTGTAATGTCTTATATTGTTGTAATAGTCGTTATCGTCTTTGTTCGTTCAGATATGGTTGTCTTTGCTGGTCAGAACGTTTCAGGACCTCTCAGTGGCAGAATCTCGCTCCCTCTGTGAAAGTGTTGCTTCTGATAATAGTCCTGTGTATTTTGCATTTGAAGACTTATGATCTCATTCTGGTGAAATGTTATATTCGAAAATACCAAGATGGACGCGGCGTTTGCTGAACGTTAAAGCAAGCTAGTGTGCACCTCCTCATGATTTCTGTCTGGCTTGCGCTGGATTTGTTTTCTCATATTTTGTTTTTGTCTGTTTTGTTTTGTTTCGTTGTGTTTGCTTAGGGAAGTATATTTGCTCTGTATCAAAATATGTTTTTGTCAATGCATCATCGTTTCATTTGTTCATATAAACCATGACTTTGCTGTGCCCCTCTCATGAAGGAAGGTACCGGCATCGCTGGACATTACGAAACTATTACAAATAAACTTAACTGAAATATCAGCCCAGCTGGTTGTCTCAACTCATTTCACTGCGTCATAATCTAATCAGATATAGATATATATATATATATGTGTGTGTGTGTGTGTGTGTGTGTGTGTGTGTGTGTGTGTGTATGTGTGTGTGTGTGTGTGTGTGTGTGTGTGTGTGTGTGTGTGTGTGTGTGTGTGCAATATGTATATTGGTGAACTTTGGACCTTGTAGAAAAACGTGGTGTACCTTAATCTGGTCTATGTCATGCATAACTTTTGTTCGGGCTATCCTGGTTCTTTTTTTAGATGTAGCTGGGTTGCGCCCCCCATCACCACAGTTTATTTTAAAGATGGGCTTCGACCCTGTCTACCAGGGCGAACTTTGACTGAGACGGACACGTGAGATTGCGGGTTCGGAGGTTCGAGCCTCAGTTCGGTCCGACGTTGTGTCCTTGGGAAAGGCACTTTACAAGAATTTCCCACTTGGCTCGGTCCTTTCGGGGATAGACGTTAAACTCGGAGGTCCAGCCTCTTAAATAACCTAACAGTGTTGATAGATGCGTTAAACCTATACTGGTTTTTTTTTTAACGGACAGAGCGTCCTAGCAGAACTCGATAGGAATTTTCACGATACAGAAATCGAACTCGGGTCGCGGGTGGTTGGCAGTTTGCCCCTTATTCTTTTTTTTCAAACATTTATCGTTCTGATTAGCTCTCCTACTTCTTTTTTGTACTTGTTATCCTCTTATAACACCTCTAATCTTCGTCACTTTTTGACCTTATTGTGTTGCAAGTGCTGTAAAACTCTTACTAAAACTAAAACATTACCTGGTCTGTGTCGTGCTGAACTCTTGTGAGGGCTATCCTGGTTCTTTTTTAGATTTAGCTGAGTTGCGCCCCACCCTCCCCTCTCCGCATTTTAAGAAGCCTTTGGTATGCCCCCGTCAACACAGTTTACTTTAAAGATGAGCTTCGGGGTCTCTTATGTGGTTTTTGTCTCTCATTCAATAGGTCCGGGTTTGAATCCTGACAGCGACGGAAAACTTTATTCTCCAAAATTTTCTCCTTTCACCTCCTTTCCTGCTCTCTAACTATATTCTGTCGTCTGATTTCGTCTCCACTTTCTGCCCCCACCCCTCACCTACTTTGCCCTCTTATCTGGGCTCTAGACTCTTTCTGACACTTTCTGGAACCTTCCTCCTGCTACTCCTTGGCTCCTTCGTACTGCTGTCTTTCAGCCACACCCTTGATCTTATGGTAGGTAAGGTCTAACAACTAGCCTTCTCGGAGAAGCATGAAAAATCTCGGAGGTCCCGTGAGCAAATTGCGCAAGTTAAAGATCCCTTGGTGGTCCAAAATCGATAAGAGTAGGCCTTGGCGCCACCGAGGCAAAATTCGAAGTTTCCTACCTACTGAAAGTACTGAATGTGTCCCGCTCGCTCATATGACCTTGTGCGGTTGCGAGCAGCATAAAAAGCTTACCGAGTTGAAACAGATAAAAGTATGATACATTTATTCTGTTTTATGGCATGCTGTAAAGGCTGCAGCCTGTTAGAATTCCACATCTTGTACAAAGAGATTTATGAAACTATATACTATGTAGTTGTAGACATACGTTTTGTCAGGCTATGGAGATACATGTACTTGCTCGTGAAAACACTCACATCCATATCGTTATGCTCTAATCCTGTAAATGGTTTTCTAGAACAAAAAGTAGCAACCCGCTACCACATATATATATATATGTGTGTGTGAGAGAGAGAGAGAGAGAGAGAGAGAGAGAGTTTTAATGTTTTATATTCTACTTAAAATTAATTTAAAGAATTATGTTAAATCAAAGCTGAATAATATTAAGTTATGGCTAAGTTATTCGAGGGGGCTCTGGAGTGGTTCGCACCTTCTTTTCTATCAAATAATATCTCGTCATTATCTTTCCTCGTTTTCTTTGTATGTTTTCCTCTTGTAATCTTTGGCACTGCTTCATTAAAATTTGTAAGACATAATTGTGTTACAAGTGCTGTAAAACTCTTATTAAAATTAAAACTAAGGCTGGAAAAGTTATAATGGATGTCTGTTTTGTTTTGTCCCAAAGAAACATTATAGACTGAAGGCCACTGAAAAGCATCGGCGAAGGTCTGGGAACAAAACAACAACAACAACAACAACAACAACAACAACAAAACCCAATTACAAAAACCAAGCTGAACTATTTCTTCCCATTTCAAAGTTGGAGCATAACAACATCGACAAACGATATAACTTTCCTAATTTTAACACAAAAGTATAGATTATCCAATCATTTCCGTGAAAAACGTCCATATGAGAAGCAGCGTGGTGAAATCAGGCGCTCGTCAAAAAATGAAATTGAAGAGATGGCATTTTCCCAACGGTTTGATAATTTTTATCGAAAATGTTTGGGATTTTCTCTCTTTTCTTTTTTCTTTTTTCTTTTTTTTTTTTTGCTCAACACCTTTATTTTCCATTTAAGAATCCATTACTGTTCGGGATTTAATTGAAATTGTTTATTAAAAACACACAAAAATGTAAATTATTGTCAGTTTTCTCGGACTCAGGCTATGTAAATAACCAAATTTGGCAGCCATTTTCCGCTAATTATACCTCAGAAACCAAGCGACCCCCCATATCCTTCAATCGCAAATGTTTCAACTTGTATTTTTAAAAAATGGGTATTTCGTTTATCGAAAGCAAATCAAATGTATAAGCTTTAAGGCGATACCAATTTATTACTCCACATGCCCAAAAATTGACGAGCGCCTGATTTTACTGCTTCATGACATCATACGAGTTGAAAAGGGAAAGGATAAGGGTTTTTTCTTTGCCGAAAAAAAACTCGGCGGTAACGTGAATTTTCGGTGACTGTTAAAAAAGAGAAAGAGATCTGCTCTTCTGTTGTAACTAACAATCAACAAGGACACACAGCAAGGATAGGACTAAACTTATAAAGATTTGAAAGCAAGAAATCTGCTAAATACCGGTGGGGATAATTTGCACGAAAAGAAAATGGTAAACTGCTATAGTAATTTAAATAATTTAATCTGATTTGATTTTACATTTTGATATAATGTAATTAACTTTTTAGTTAGTTTAATAGTTCGTTCGTCAATGTCGGACGATAACCAATGCATCCCCAGACTCGAATATTTTTCACGCAAAACAGAAGATGTAAAAAAAAAATGAGTTTGTTATTCACAAACAGTGGGGATTAGAGAGCAGAAAACGTGTTCATTATAGGACACAACAATGCCATTGTTTGTGATATCATGGCATAGCGATATCAAGGGCGTCGTATGGTCGTGAAAGAGCAACAAGTGTCAATTTGAGTCGTTTTACAGAAACTGCAAGAAAACTAACTAATTCTTGTGTTTGCCTGTGACTTCTATAGTTTGATATTCTTTATTTTTTAATTCACTTCCAAACTTCTGTTACTGAGAATGTCAGAAAAAATAAAAATATGAATAAATAAATGAATTTTATATAACAACAAAATGTCCACATGAAAGCATACTTGAATCACTCCAGTCCTTTTGACGACGATTCATGTTCCAAGGCAGAGCACTGTTTAGTCAATATTCTTGAGCCTGTCGTCACACCATGTATAGCTCTGATCAAAACATCCAACAGGAACTAGATGGGCTATTTGAGGGCATTCATTCCTCTTTCAATGTGGTTCCATCCAACATTTGATGAAAAAATTTCACAAAAGAAAAAAAGCAAAACAAACTCCGGTGTTCTAACGATAGGGGCAGCTCGGGGCATCTGTGAGCATTTGATGTTATATGAACAGACAAAGGTATGCCCACTTCCATCTTAACATTATGATGTCAGTTTGCTTGTATTCAAGAGCTTACTTAATCAGCTAGTTGCACTAGATTCTATTTGCTTCCCGGGAAGCCGAGAATGTTTCTGGGCGTTCTAGGGTCTGCTGGGGTAATATATTGTTTGTTCACTATTAGAAGATAGGCCTATTATTCTTTGCGTTTTACACTAATATAGTGTAAAGCACAAAGAGCTTGCTGTCAAGCAGGGGTATGAGCTATGCACATGTTATTTACTGTTCATTATTAAAATTTTAAGTTTACCTGAAACATAACTTGGATACAACCGAAATTCTTTTTACCTATGTTTAATATGCCTAAACATCCGTGCCTTGAACACACAAACAAACAAACAAACAAAAAACACACAACCAAATAAATTAACAAAAAATAAACAAATTTGCTCATTTTATCTCGGTGACAGATGAGTCACAGATCGGACGTTTTTGACACCCAGATGGCCAACTTTTCATTTGTCTCACAAGTGGGGCGGCTGTAACTGTCCTGCGTTTCTCTCTGAGATTTTATACTCAGAGCTGTCGTAATGCCTCTGGTTCTGATATCATTGATTGTGATAGATCTACCTCTGATCGGGATACTTGTTATTCGGATACTTCTTATTGTGATACCTCTAATAAAACTTGTTATTGTGACACTATCGATAATTATTCTAATACTTTTGATTGCGACCGTGATGCCTCTGATTTTGATACTTTTGATTTTGATACCACGGATCTTGATACTTTTGATTCGGATACTACTGACTGGGATACTTTAGATTTTGAGATTATAAATTGTGATACTTTTGATTCTGATAATACTGACTTTGATACTTTTGATCGTTGTACCCTTCTGTCAGCTGCGGTAGGATAGATTTAGGTTACTAAAAATAATATGAAGTAAAACAGTTGGGAGAACTAAGCGACTCCTATATATGTATTCACCTCTAATCTAGTTTATTCTAGTAGCAACATTAATCCATTCACAATTAGTCTATACACGTCCCAACATTTCGTTCGAAAGTTTGATTCTGATAATACTGACTGTGATACTTCTGATCGTTGTATCCTACTGTCAGCAGTAGCAGGACAGATTTAGGTTGCTAAAAATAATATGAAGTTAAACAGATAGGAGACTACACGACCCCTATATTATTTTTCATTCATATCTAATCTAATCTTGTCTACTAGCAACATTTCATTCACAAATTCTCGTCCCTACGTTTCGTTCACATTTTACTTATCTTAACACTAAACTCTAGCTTTCGTCTCTGACTTTCCGCCTGGTGACCTCATTACTGCCATGAAGATTTCCGTTGGTCGCTATACGATCTGATGACGTCACGGAATGCCCGTTGCCATCTTGTCTAGTGATGCCCTTCGCCTGTGTCCCCTGCTGCAGCTCTTGCTCCAGTTTTTGCTTGCGTAGCTGCCTGGCTTTGGCGCGAACGACGTGCTCCTTGTGGTAGTAGTTGAGGAACAGGCTGATCATGATGACGGCATAGAGGAGAGACAGAAGGCTGAGGCCGAGGGGGAAGTCACAGCGAAAGACAAAGTGGACGGAATGGATCACTACGGCCGTGAACTGGACCTGTGGGTAATTACAACAACACACGGGGGGTGAGGCTTTTATGTCATTTTAAACATATCTGTGGTCATCACAACACATGGGGTTGAGAGTTTTACGTCGATGTCAACATATTTTGGGTACTTACAGCAAACCGGGGGGGAGGGAGGGGTTGTGAAAGTTTTACGTCGTTGTCAACACATTTTGGGTAATTACAGCATACGGATGGGGAAAGTGTTACTGGGTAATCACAACACACGGGTGTTGAGGGTTTTACGTCTTTGTCAATACACTTTGGGTACATGCAGTCGACCCTGTTCTTATAGAGACACTCGCTTGTACAAACGGCCGCGTCCCTCGTGTATCACCGTCACAATCTGTAACACTCACCACATATAGTACCGTCAAAATATCATGTTACACTCACCGTTAATAACACCGTCAAAATCTGTAACACTCACCACATCGTCACAAAAAGTGACACTCACCGTTTGAAACATTCACCGTTTATAACACACTGACAATAAGTAACACTCACCATTTGTAACACTGTCACAATACTGTATCATGTTACACTCACAACTTGTAACACCGTCACAATATGTAACAACCACCACACCATCACAAAAAGTGACAGTCACCATTTGAAACACTCACCTCATACAACACCATCACAATATCATGTTACACTCACCACTTGTAAACCGTCACAAAAAGTAACATTCACCACATATTATAACATCTTCACAATATGGAACACTCACCACGTGTAACACCGTCACAATATCATGTTACACTCACCACGTGTAACACCGTCACAATACTGTATCATGTTACACTCACAACTTGTAACACCGTCACAAAATGTAACACTCACCACATGTAACGCCGTCACAAGATGTAACACTCACCACATGTAACGCTGTCACAATATGTAACACTCACCACGTGTAACACCGTCACAATATCATGTTACACTCACCACTTGTAACACCGTCCCAATAAGTAACACTCACCACTTGTAACACCGTCACAACACTGTATCATGTTACACTCACCACATGTAAAACCGCCACAATACCATGTGACACTCACCACATGTAAAACCGCCACAATACCATGTGACACTCACCACATGTAAAACCGCCACAATATTATGTGACACTCACCACATGTAACACTGTCACAATACCATGTGACACTCACCACATGTAACACTGTCACAATGTGTAACACTCACCGATTATAACACCGTCACAACATCATGTAATACTCATCACTTGTAACACCGTAACAAAAAGTAACACTCACCACATATTATAACACAGTCACAATATGTAACACTCACCACGTGTAATACCGTCACAATACTGTATCATGTTACACTCACAACTTGTAACATCGTCACAATCTGTAACACTCACCACATGTAAAACCTTCACAATGTGTAACACTCACCACATAAAACACCGTCACAAAAAGTGGCAGTCACCATTTGAAACACTCACCACATATAACACCATCACAGTAGCATGTAACGCTCACCACTTGTAACATCGTTACAAAAGCGACACTCATCACACCGTCACAATATAATGTAACACTCACCACTTGTAACACCGTGACAAAAAGTACCACTCACCACTTGTATCACCGTCACGTACTTCTTCCACCACAGATAGGGCTGCACAGCGGGCCCCAGCGCAGACAGGCCGTAGTAGGAGTACATCACCACATGCACGAAACTGTTGATTAACGCGTGGAAAAACGCTGGGGATAGGAGGTTAGGGTAGTGTGGGGGGGGGCAG